TTTATAAACTATTTTCTTCTATAAATTATATAAACACATTTCTTAACTACTCATACACTTAGTCAAGTATTGTAGCTTGTTAACCAAAGGTCTAACTTGTTATATTACAACATAGAACTTTACATAGTTAGCCAATCGTATTTCAAAGATATCTCAGCATCTACTGGGCTGATTTTAATGATCTAACCACCATTAGATTCGTTGTAATGAGCTCTACAACTTTTAATTAATAGAGAAGGGCAATTAACTTAGTAAAAAACAGTTTTCCTTGGGTGAATGTGACATTTTCACTTATAATACAGTATATATTACTATAGGTGAAAATGCCACATTCACCCAAGAAAAATTATTATTTTTTTACTAAGTTAATCACCCTTCTCTATTATTAAAAGTTGTAGAGCTCATTACGACGGTGGTTAGATCATTAAAATCGGCCCAGTAGATGCCGAGATATCTTCGAAATACATGAAACTTTACATAGTTGGCCAATCATATTTCGAAGATATCTCGGCATCTACTGGGCCGATTTTAATGATCTAACCACCGTTAGATTCATTGTATTGAGTTCTACAACTTTCAATTAATTGAGAAGAGCGATTAACTTAATAAAAAAAAGGTTTTCCTTGGGCGAACGTGGCATTCCGCCATAAGTGATTTGTGATATGATACCCAGTATAATGTTTATATAGTGCCCTATTAAGGTTGGGGTTAGATTTCAAGACATGTATAGTTATATGTAAAATTAGACACTGAGCAATTTTACTTAAGGTACCTACATATGGTTTTCTTAGTAAAATTTTGAGATATTAACGATTTTTGATTTTTTTTTCTTATACCGGGTATCATACCCACCGGATACAAATAGAGATTCTCTAAATTCAAATATCTCAACAACTATTAAACCAAATTTGATAAAAATTTTTATTAAAAAGTTTGCTTTAATAGTTGCTAAGATATTTTAATTTAAAATTTTAAAACAAATTTGCTTGGTTTCTATTGATACCTCCATATGTTTATTTAGTATCTAACCTTATTAAACCAATCAAAATATGCTTTATGTATTACATAACAAGAGCATGCTCTTTGATCTTGAGGAATGCCCATAGGGGCATGCCTCGTACCCTAAACCCTAGCTAGGGTACTCTGATTTGAATTTGATCAAATCAAGTCAAATTAATTTGGATTTGATCAATCCAATTTTTGATTATAAATCTAAAGGTTTTTTGCTCTAATGCTAAGCATGTATATTGTTAATCAGATGCAAAAATTTAAGATTATCGAGAGCCAATTAAAATCTATCGCTATACATTCATTTTAGAAACGTTCTAGAATCGATTTTCAATTTGAACAGAAAATAAAAAGTTCTTACTATAACGATAGGTCCCGCTAAAGTCTTTTATCATTTTACTTCATTTGGTCAATAAACATAATATATCAACGTATAACAATAATCACCCGTGTAACTATAAAGTTTAGTATAAATAACGGTTTGATACGTAGTCTTATCTCAGAAATGAAATTTGAAACATATCTGAACACAAATTGTATTTTCGTGAAATGCGAAAGACTATATTGTATAGCGATGAATAATAAGTTTCAAGGATTAAAAAGGGGGGTATATATATATATATCAATATACGTAATTTGTGTACCTTTGGTTAAATTAAGGATTGCTCACGAAAAGGATCTGCACAATCTAAATATGAATATGGTTATTTCTTCCCCTTCCCCGTAATTCCAAGTTGGCGTAAATAGCCAACTAATTCAAGAAAATATTCATGCCGAAAATTCTCTTCTACCTATATTTTTTAATAAATTTAAGCTAATATTTCTTGGAGAAATTTCAAACTATACTTTTAATAGTTACTCTTAATAGTTTGTTTCTTCGTGTGTAAAGAACGTACATATTCAAAGTTGATGCCGGGCTTCAAACTTTTCAGGAAAAGAGTTTCCGGATCCTTACAATTAAATATTAATTCTATACTCGTACCATTAACGTTTGGTTCGAGTTTTTGGTGCGTTTATGCCGCTCTTCCTGATCCCCGTTGGGGGCATGGCATGGTGTTAATAAAAAAAAAGTATGTATCAACTCTCAGCAGTTACCGGTGTTGGATCATTGATCATACATTTAATATTCTAAACCTATTAATAAATCAATATCGATATTGATTTTAATTATACAAATCGTATAGTTTATATATTTTCGGAGGCAAAGCGGGTCTTAAATCATTAAATGATACATCACAAAACACAGGCCAGCTACTTATCCTTGATATTTCTAATGGATTCCAGAGGTCTAATCCTCCATGGGTAATTGGTCCTTCGGGTCCCAAGGTTGCATATCACACAGTTAGTGTGGGTGGTTCTCAGAATGAACTCTTAGTCGTGTATGGTGGTGAATCCGGTGAAACGCCACCTCCTCCCAATTCATTATTTTATTTTGAT